AACCCCAAAAATTATAACATACCCAAACAGGCGGAAACACAACCTATAGAAGTTGTAACCCACTCCAAAAAAGTTGTAATCCACACCATTAAAGTTGTAATCAACCCAAAAAATTAGAACTCCACCCAAGAAGTTGGAACTCCATAAGGTTGGACCACAATTCCAAAATATTTTAACCCAACCCCAAAAATTGTAATATACGAAACACAACTCCAAAAAATAATAACATATCCCAAAAAGTTGAAACTCAATTCTTAAAATTTGTAATCCAAAATTAAATATTTTATGGATTAAATTAGAAAATTACTCACTCTGTTCCTAAATATCTGTTGTTTAAGGTTTTCGCACAGGGATTAAAGAAACTTATTAAATAGTTATAATATGAGTAAAATATAATTTCAAAAGACTAAAATACCCTTATTCAATACGTATTGGGAAGGAAAGGAATATGAAAGACACTTAACATCCACCTAATCTAATGCAATGAAAAGTTAAGGGTAAATTTGGAAGAAAAAATATTAATTATGATTTGGTTTCATTAAACGACTGATATTATAGAACAAAAAAAATTATGTAAAACGATAGATATTTAGGAATGGAGGGAGTAATATTTTAAGCACCAAACTAATAAATATGTATAATTTTTGGGATGAAAGTGTAAGTCTTCATTTGCTAAGCTATGACCGATTGTCGGTTCCTAAGTCGGTTCTAATATAAACAAAAAATTAATTACACTTTTATCCTAAAAGTTATATATATTTATGGTTCATAAAATATTAATTTATCAATTTTATTCAATTTTGTATTTAAATAGTACTTTTAAGATTCAAAATCATCCAATAAAAATTCAACTTATCAAATCAAAATCAAAATAATATGCAATTTAATCTAATTAATATTATATTCATCAAATTTACACCAAATTAATATTGAATTCTTCAAACCAACATTCAATTTTATCTAATAAGTTCTAAAAAAGGTACCATAACCAATTATCTGCTTTTTCAATATGACGGCCCATCCTGATCCAATATCTCTCGAAAATTTTTTTGCTTGTATGATTATTTACAACATTTTACATTGGTAATGTCTCAGAGTTATATCATAAAAAAAAAAAAAATTTAACTTATAATTTTTGATGCAATATCTCTGTTGATATAGCAACATTCAAACTCATTACTAAAGAAAGCCAAGTGACCTGCTTGAAATGAACTAAGAAATACTAGAGCCGTGATGTTGTTGCCTTTAACAGTTCATGCTAAGGTAGCTTCAATACCGAAAAGTGAAATTCAGTACAATATTGAAAATTTAAACGGAATTTAGGATTGACATCTGTACTCATTTAAATTTATGAAAACTTATAACCTGTTTAACTGATATAAATTTTAAAAATAAATACAACTGCTACACACTTTAAAAAAAGATATAATAGAAATTAAAACTAGTTTTAAAAAATGATAATTATTTATCTGATTTAAACCTAAATAAAAAAATAATAAAAAATTTTCAATATCTAAAATTAGTTTTAAAAAATTATAATTTTTTATCATATTTAAAAGTGAAATAAAAATATAAGAAAAATTTTGCAGTGACATTAAATTTTAAAAATATTAGAGGTTAGGATTAGGTTATTAAGTTTAGAAGGCTAAATTACAATTAAAGTTTAGCACATTGCTATTATTAAAATGTTACATTATCACAAATTTTTTTGGGTAAAATTGCTATTTTTTGGGGTTATATTTTGGGTTAAGGTAAAATTATTACAACTTTTGTATTTAATGCTAAATAAATTATAACNTCGAGAATGAAATTGAAGCTGAGGATGATGAAGCCCAAACCCAAGATGTCCCAAATTCTTCCACAGCTGGTGTCCCAAATTCTTTCACAACTGGTCTTCCTCTTGATGCATTGCAAGTATATGGAATGTTGTTGTTACGATTGACTAGAAAGATGGAGGAATTTGAAAATTCTCAAAATGAAATAAAGGATACTCAAAATGAAATAAAGGAGTCTCTGAAAAGGNTTGGGGGAAAGGTAAAATTATTACAACATTTGTTTTAACGCTAAAAAAATTATAACACAGTTATCAAATATGANTTCTCAAAATGAAATAAAGGATACTCAAAATGAAATAAAGGAGTCTCTGAAAAGGATGAATAGTAGATTAGATAGAATTGAGTCTTTTTTTATGAAAAACAAAGAAATAGATAGGAAGTGACAATTGTATGTAATTGTAGTTGTTGATTTTTGATACAATAGTTGAAGTAGCAATAGTGAAAATTATATGTAATTATAGTTGAACTAGCAGTAGTGTTTTTTGTCAAAAATCTAAAATGTCTTTGTTCTTTATACATAAAATGAGAATGATAATGGTTGTGATAAGCATGGTTGNTGAAAAAAAAAGTGAAAATTCTGAGGTATAAGTGAAATTTACTGAAGATAAAATTTGGATGTTCAAAGGATCAATTGCTTGATCACTGGATCCAAGTTTGATCGCTCTCTCTAGCGATCACCGTTTTCTTCTATTCACATGCAATCCAATCACGATCAAAATTTTTCATCTATTCTTGTGATCGCTGGATCCAAGTTTGATCGGTCATTATAGTGATCAAACTTTTTCTTCCATTCCCCAAGCACAGCAAACCGAAAACCCTACTCCTCAAACCTTAAATCAGACATCTAACCCTAAATCAGCTATCTAACCCTAAATCGGCGATGTAACCCCAAATCTAAGCCCAAATTGTGAAAACCCATCCTGATTGCATACCCAAAACCTTAAATCAGGTGAGGGCTTCAAAGTTTAGTTCCCTAATCGTCTCAAAACAGCCTGCATCATGTTTTTCCATTAGAGAAGGGAGAGAAAGGTGCCTGCGACTTAGGGTGTCGTGGTTGTCTAACTTGCATGTGGGGTGTATATTGTCATGAGAATTCGGCTCCTCTGGTAGTTTTCTTTTCTTTTCTTTTTTTGTTTAATTAGCGNATGTGGGGTGTATATTGTCATGAGAATTCGGCTCCTCTGGTAGTTTTCTTTTCTTTTTTTTTTTTTTGTTTAATTAGCGAAAAAAACAAGTTTATTTCATCATAATTTTTTATACATAGTTGTCTCTGTCTCTCTGAATTTCATAAATTTTTTTGTACAAATAGTTGCATAAGGGATGTGTTTTGGGGTTGAACAAATTATGGTTTTTGTGAGTGATGGTTCAAGCAATTCTATCTTCCTCACATCTTCAATTGTTATTGCTCAAAATAATAGATAATTTTCTATGTTATTGCTTTTTTGACTAATTTTTTTTTGTTACAGCAGAATGGCCGGTAGAAAGAAATATAGGCCAAAAGTTGTGGATACTAGTGNTTGTAATGTTAACCAAAAAAGTGTAATCTTAACCTAATCAATGGTAATGTTAACAAAAAAATAACCAATAAAATGGTCTTACCTCAACATGTAATCTTACCTAAAAGAGTGATACTCTTAACAAAAACAATGGTAATCTTAACCAAAAAAGTGGTAATGTTATCTAAAATAGTGGTAATGTCTACAAAAATAGNAAAAATGTAATCATCCTTCCTCCATGCATCCAACTGTTGATCCCACATCCACCAATCCCACCCNGTGGTAATGTTTATTAAAAGTTTGGTAATGTTAACCAAAAGAATTGTAATGTTAACCCAAAAAATGTAATCTTAACCAAAAGTAATGTTAACCAAAAAATGTAATCTTAACCAATAGTGGTAATGTCTACGAAAATAGTGGTAATGTTAATCAAAAGAGTGGTACTCTTAAACAAAATATTGATAATCTTAACCAAAAAAGTTATAATATTATCCAAAACAGAGGTATTCTTAACCAAAATAATGGTAATCTTGCCTCAAATAATGAGCTTTTTATGATAAAAATGGTACTCTTCACCAAAAAAATAATGGTACTCTTACCTCAAAAGTGGTAATCTTAAAGAAAAAAATGGTAATCTTAATGAAAAGAATTGTAATGTTAACCAAAAAAGTGTAATCTTAACCTAATCAATGGTAATGTTAACAAAAAAATAACCAATAAAATGGTCTTACCTCAACATGTAATCTTACCTAAAAGAGTGGTACTCTTAACAAAAACAATGGTAATCTTAACCAAAAAAGTGGTAATGTTATCTAAAATAGTGGTAATGTCTACAAAAATAGTGGTAATGTTAATTAAAAGAGTGGTACTCTTAACCAAAATAGTGGTAATCTTAACCAAAAAAGTGATAATATTATCCAAAACAGAGGTACTCTTAACCAAAATAGTGGTAATTTTGCCTCAAATAATGGGCTTTTTATGAAGAAAAATGGTACTCTTACCTCAACGGTGGTAGTCTTAAANAATACATTAATTATAGGCCTTTGTTATTGGAGAGGGGTGTTTTACTTGATCAATTAAAAGAGGTAGGATGTGATGTTATTTTTTCTCTTCATCAATTGAATTTTGCAGTAGATATCAAGAAGACAGATAAAACATATAATACATTGGTGAAGATATTTTATTCTAATATGTCTAATATGCATGATATTGATAGAGATGATTACAAGATTAAGTCCCTTGTGAAGAACGTAAGTTTTGAAGTAACTCCAGAGTTAGTTTCAAAAATATTGGTAGTTCGCCGGCCCTTCATTTTTAACAATACCCTTACCTATCAATTCAAGAATTTTAAGGACATACCTAAGCTGAAAGATGTTCATGCAGAAATTGAGGTTATACCTAATAAATTTAGTGAGAGTGTTGATGATCCAGAATTTTTTCAGCAAGACCTTACTCCCAAATATAGGATGTTAAATCTTATAGTGGGGTACAATATTATACCAAAAGGACTACTGCTAAGTTTGGACTTGATCGAGCTCATCTCTTGAATGTCATTGGAAAGGGTATATGTATAGATTTACCTTGTTTAATAGTTGATAAAATTATTTCGATACAAGGTATAAAGGATAGGCGATGATGTCTCCCATTCCCAATTTTGATTTCAAAGATTATGGAGGATCGTGGAGTTGTGATTCACTCAAGTGACACTTATTCCACTCCCATGAATCCAATTTATGGTGGGACAATAAAGAAGAGTTTGGGGCAAGGGAAGAAGAATACAACTCAGCAACCGCAGCCACAAATCGAGAATGAAATTGAAGCTGAGGATGATGAAGCCCAAACCCAAGATGTCCCAAATTCTTCCACAGCTGGTGTCCCAAATTCTTTCACAACTGGTCTTCCTCTTGATGCATTGCAAGTATATGGAATGTTGTTGTTACGATTGACTAGAAAGATGGAGGAATTTGAAAATTCTCAAAATGAAATAAAGGATACTCAAAATGAAATAAAGGAGTCTCTGAAAAGGATGAATAGTAGATTAGATAGAATTGAGTCTTTTTTTATGAAAAACAAAGAAATAGCTAGGAAGTGACAATTGTATGTAATTGTAGTTGTTGATTTTTGATACAATAGTTGAAGTAGCAATAGTGAAAATTATATGTAATTATAGTTGAACTAGCAGTAGTGTTTTTTGTCAAAAATCTAAAATGTCTTTGTTCTTTATACATAAAATGAGAATGATAATGGTTGTGATAAGCATGGTTGTGGTAATTTAGTACTAAGATTGTTGAGCAGTTGAAAATTGGAATGGATTGGTATGCTGGGATGAAGATGGCAGAATGGAGCTGGTGTTTTGCTGCAGTCTGTTCTGTGTACTGGTGCAGTTGATTGAGCAGCTAAACTAGTCTGGTTTACTAGGATGTTACCCAGCAGTTTCAAGAATGTTGCATTTGTACAGAAAACCTGATTTGCTTTCTTGTTCTATTTTCTGTTATAAATCAGAAATACAGTTTTCTGGTTTTTCGATTTTCTGTGAAAATAAATTCTATTTTTTTCGGTTAAACAATTTCTATTTTTTTTATTCTTGTAATTTTGAGATTTAAAAAAATAAAAAAATCCCTTGATCCCACTATTGATCTACTGCATCTATCGGTGTGAAGCTATTGATAGCTACTCTTGCTCACCTGATCCCAGTGGTACTCTTGATCGCAAACCTCACTTGATCCCACTCTTGATCCCATTGTTGATTGCTTACTTGATTGGATCCCACTGTTGATCGCTTACTTGATCGGATCCCACTTGATTGATGGCAAACTTGCACTTGATCCATGATCCTACTTGATCCCGATCTTGATCGCTTCCCCGATCTTGATCGCTAAATGCGGTCCAAATAGTGGTAATATTAACCTCAAAAATTGTAATATTAACTAAAAAAAGGAAATATTGAAAAAAAGAGTGGTACTTACCTCAAAAGTGTAATCTTAACCAAAAAAGTGGTAATGTTTATTAAAAGTTTGGTAATGTTAACCAAAAGAATTGTAATGTTAACCCAAAAAATGTAATCTTAACCAAAAGTAATGTTAACCAAAAAATGTAATCTTAACCAATAGTGGTAATGTCTACGAAAATAGTGGTAATGTTAATCAAAAGAGTGGTACTCTTAAACAAAATATTGATAATCTTAACCAAAAAAGTTATAATATTATCCAAAACAGAGGTATTCTTAACCAAAATAATGGTAATCTTGCCTCAAATAATGAGCTTTTTATGATAAAAATGGTACTCTTCACCAAAAAAATAATGGTACTCTTACCTCAAAAGTGGTAATCTTAAAGAAAAAAATGGTAATCTTAATGAAAAGAATTGTAATGTTAACCAAAAAAGTGTAATCTTAACCTAATCAATGGTAATGTTAACAAAAAAATAACCAATAAAATGGTCTTACCTCAACATGTAATCTTACCTAAAAGAGTGGTACTCTTAACAAAAACAATGGTAATCTTAACCAAAAAAGTGGTAATGTTATCTAAAATAGTGGTAATGTCTACAAAAATAGTGGTAATGTTAATTAAAAGAGTGGTACTCTTAACCAAAATAGTGGTAATCTTAACCAAAAAAGTGATAATATTATCCAAAACAGAGGTACTCTTAACCAAAATAGTGGTAATTTTGCCTCAAATAATGGGCTTTTTATGAAGAAAAATGGTACTCTTACCTCAACGGTGGTAGTCTTAAAGAAAAAAATTGTAAACTTAATTAAAAGAATTGTAATGTTAACCAAAAAAGTGTAAGCTTAACCAAAAGTAATGTTAACCTAATTAATGGTAATTTTAACCAATAAAATGTTCTTACCTGAACATGTAATATTACCTAAAAGAGTGGTACTTTTAACCAAAAAAGTTGTAATCTTAACCAAAAAAGTGGTAAAGTTATCCAAAATAGTGGTACAGAAACCAAAATAATTGTAATGTCTACGAAAATAGTGGTAATTTTAACCAAAAGAGTGGTACTCTTAACCAAAATAGTGGTAATCTTAACCAAAGAAATGATAATATTAGCCAAAACATAGGTACTCTAAACCAAAATAGTGGTAATCTTGCCTCAAATAATGGACTTTTTATGAAAAAAATGATACTCTTAACCAAAAAAATGGTACTCTTACCTCAATAGTGGTAATCTTAAAGAAAAAAAATGGTAATCTTAATCAAAAAGAATTGTAATATTAACCAAAAAATTGTACTCTTAACCAAAAGTAATGTTAACCAAAAAATAACCAATAAAATGGTTTTACCTGAACATATAATCTTACCTAAAAGAGTGATACTCTTAACCAAAACAGTGGTAATCTTAACAAAAAAAGTGGTAATGTTATCCAAAATAGCGGTACCGAAACTAAAATAGTGGTAATGTCTACAAAAATAGTGGTAATATTAACTAAAAAAGTGATACTCTTAACCAAANTTGATTTCAAAGATTATGGAGGATCGTGGAGTTGTGATTCACTCAAGTGACACTTATTCCACTCCCATGAATCCAATTTATGGTGGGACAATAAAGAAGAGTTTGGGGCAAGGGAAGAAGAATACAACTCAGCAACCGCAGCCACAAATCGAGAATGAAATTGAAGCTGAGGATGATGAAGCCCAAACCCAAGATGTCCCAAATTCTTCCACAGCTGGTGTCCCAAATTCTTTCACAACTGGTCTTCCTCTTGATGCATTGCAAGTATATGGAATGTTGTTGTTACGATTGACTAGAAAGATGGAGGAATTTGAAAATTCTCAAAATGAAATAAAGGATACTCAAAATGAAATAAAGGAGTCTCTGAAAAGGATGAATAGTAGATTAGATAGAATTGAGTCTTTTTTTATGAAAAACAAAGAAATAGCTAGGAAGTGACAATTGTATGTAATTGTAGTTGTTGATTTTTGATACAATAGTTGAAGTAGCAATAGTGAAAATTATATGTAATTATAGTTGAACTAGCAGTAGTGTTTTTTGTCAAAAATCTAAAATGTCTTTGTTCTTTATACATAAAATGAGAATGATAATGGTTGTGATAAGCATGGTTGTGGTAATTTAGTACTAAGATTGTTGAGCAGTTGAAAATTGGAATGGATTGGTATGCTGGGATGAAGATGGCAGAATGGAGCTGGTGTTTTGCTGCAGTCTGTTCTGTGTACTGGTGCAGTTGATTGAGCAGCTAAACTAGTCTGGTTTACTAGGATGTTACCCAGCAGTTTCAAGAATGTTGCATTTGTACAGAAAACCTGATTTGCTTTCTTGTTCTATTTTCTGTTATAAATCAGAAATACAGTTTTCTGGTTTTTCGATTTTCTGTGAAAATAAATTCTATTTTTTTCGGTTAAACAATTTCTATTTTTTTTATTCTTGTAATTTTGAGATTTAAAAAAATAAAAAAATCCCTTGATCCCACTATTGATCTACTGCATCTATCGGTGTGAAGCTATTGATAGCTACTCTTGCTCACCTGATCCCAGTGGTACTCTTGATCGCAAACCTCACTTGATCCCACTCTTGATCCCATTGTTGATTGCTTACTTGATTGGATCCCACTGTTGATCGCTTACTTGATCGGATCCCACTTGATTGATGGCAAACTTGCACTTGATCCATGATCCTACTTGATCCCGATCTTGATCGCTTCCCCGATCTTGATCGCTAAATGCGGTCCAAATAGTGGTAATATTAACCTCAAAAATTGTAATATTAACTAAAAAAAGGAAATATTGAAAAAAAGAGTGGTACTTACCTCAAAAGTGTAATCTTAACCAAAAAAGTGGTAATGTTTATTAAAAGTTTGGTAATGTTAACCAAAAGAATTGTAATGTTAACCCAAAAAATGTAATCTTAACCAAAAGTAATGTTAACCAAAAAATGTAATCTTAACCAATAGTGGTAATGTCTACGAAAATAGTGGTAATGTTAATCAAAAGAGTGGTACTCTTAAACAAAATATTGATAATCTTAACCAAAAAAGTTATAATATTATCCAAAACAGAGGTATTCTTAACCAAAATAATGGTAATCTTGCCTCAAATAATGAGCTTTTTATGATAAAAATGGTACTCTTCACCAAAAAAATAATGGTACTCTTACCTCAAAAGTGGTAATCTTAAAGAAAAAAATGGTAATCTTAATGAAAAGAATTGTAATGTTAACCAAAAAAGTGTAATCTTAACCTAATCAATGGTAATGTTAACAAAAAAATAACCAATAAAATGGTCTTACCTCAACATGTAATCTTACCTAAAAGAGTGGTACTCTTAACAAAAACAATGGTAATCTTAACCAAAAAAGTGGTAATGTTATCTAAAATAGTGGTAATGTCTACAAAAATAGTGGTAATGTTAATTAAAAGAGTGGTACTCTTAACCAAAATAGTGGTAATCTTAACCAAAAAAGTGATAATATTATCCAAAACAGAGGTACTCTTAACCAAAATAGTGGTAATTTTGCCTCAAATAATGGGCTTTTTATGAAGAAAAATGGTACTCTTACCTCAACGGTGGTAGTCTTAAAGAAAAAAATTGTAAACTTAATTAAAAGAATTGTAATGTTAACCAAAAAAGTGTAAGCTTAACCAAAAGTAATGTTAACCTAATTAATGGTAATTTTAACCAATAAAATGTTCTTACCTGAACATGTAATATTACCTAAAAGAGTGGTACTTTTAACCAAAAAAGTTGTAATCTTAACCAAAAAAGTGGTAAAGTTATCCAAAATAGTGGTACAGAAACCAAAATAATTGTAATGTCTACGAAAATAGTGGTAATTTTAACCAAAAGAGTGGTACTCTTAACCAAAATAGTGGTAATCTTAACCAAAGAAATGATAATATTAGCCAAAACATAGGTACTCTAAACCAAAATAGTGGTAATCTTGCCTCAAATAATGGACTTTTTATGAAAAAAATGATACTCTTAACCAAAAAAATGGTACTCTTACCTCAATAGTGGTAATCTTAAAGAAAAAAAATGGTAATCTTAATCAAAAAGAATTGTAATATTAACCAAAAAATTGTACTCTTAACCAAAAGTAATGTTAACCAAAAAATAACCAATAAAATGGTTTTACCTGAACATATAATCTTACCTAAAAGAGTGATACTCTTAACCAAAACAGTGGTAATCTTAACAAAAAAAGTGGTAATGTTATCCAAAATAGCGGTACCGAAACTAAAATAGTGGTAATGTCTACAAAAATAGTGGTAATATTAACTAAAAAAGTGATACTCTTAACCAAAAAAAAATAATACATTTACCTCAACACGGTCATCTTTCACTCAAAAAGTGGTAATCGTCTCAAAAAAATGGTAATCTAACCCAAAAAACGTGATAATATTGCCTCAAAAAGATTATTTATTCTTTATATATAAAATGAGCTTGATTCTTGTGGAAATGGAGCATTCCTATAGGGGAGGAAATGCATTTGCAGACTCTTTCACCAACCAAGGAGTCTGTGACAATGCTTCTCATACTCATACTTCCCCTTTCACTCTCAATGTACATACGAGACAACTTTTACTGCAAGATCAACGAAAAATTAAATCGCTGCTGTCTAAGATTAAAGTTCTCTATAGATTCAACGTCAACTTAAATCTAACAACATCAAAAAATTACTAAACCAATAAATGTTGGATAGTAAAAGTATTTTTACAAAAAAGACCTTTCGCTTTAAGCAATCCAAAAATGTATTTGTTGCATAGACTATCATGAATAAAACTTTTCAATGTGTGGAAAACATATCATGGAACACCAAATTGTTACCCTCACAGACATATTGATTGGTTGTGTTTAATGAGGAAGATACTACTATCACAACGATTATGAAAAAGAATGTTAGCATGCATAATGTATAAGTTTCATTTAATACATAAGTTGAATGGTCAGTGGGAATGAGAATGTTATTGGTGTGTCAGCACAATTAAGCATGATCTGACAAAATATCATCCAGGAAGAAAAGGCCAGTTATAAATTTTGTAATTAAAGTTAATCTAATGTCAGGGGAGTCAAAAGTACAAAGCTTAGAACAATCAGAGCAAGGAAGTGTCCCTTCTCCAGTAGGCAGCACCTCCTCTACTCCCACCCTTGCTGCCCCAAACTCAAACAACTTGATAGGGGAAGATGGAGAAGACATGCTAGAATTCAAGCTGCAATGACAAGGAGCATACTTTGCACAAAAAAATCAATCTTGAGCATCTGTCAATTACCAGCAACTGTTATTNTTGCTACCCCAAACTCAAACAACTTGATAGGGGAAGATGGAGAAGACATGCTAGAATTCAAGCTGCAATGACAAGGAGCAGACTTTGCACAAAAAAATCAATCTTGAGCATCTGTCAATTACCAGCAACTGTTATTTTTGGAATGCTGGAATGCTCAAAATAGCTGCTACACATTGCTCATCTTGGCTTTCTTAGCTACTGTTTATGTGACTGCATCGAGGGTAAGGTAAATACTTCCCCCAAGCTAGGTTTAATTTAATTTTTAATCAAAAATATTCTCTCGCAAGTTCTCCAAAAAAAAAAAGGGGTATATCTAAGTGAAAAAAAAAACTTGGAATGGAGAATGTAAATTAAACCTTTTCATTCAAAAGGCAATAAAAGTAAAATTTCATCAACCCATCTTCCTCCATGATCTTGGTTCCCATTGTGATAGAATAAATTTATGGTTAGATAACAATGGTGAAAAAACAAAATTTGTGGGATAAAATTTAGAATTTTTGTAATTACCTCCATATTACTGAAATTAGTGTTGATGTATTGTGATTAAATGGTAGAATCAAAGCTTGACATTCCATCCTAAAAAAACAAGAAATGAGTACATACGAAAAAAATATAAACATCCAAAGAATATTATATGAACCTGATAGTTGAGGATACCCTCATTGACAAAGGGAATGCAACGGTCATCCTTTTTAGATGATGGCATAGATTGCTGCGATCCACCATGCTGTGAAAAAGGCATGTGGGGTAGCTGGTCTGATCCACTATGTTGTAAAAAGGGAATGTTCTGTGGTTGCTGTGATCCAATTGGTTGTGAAAAAGGCATGTCCTCGAATGAATCATTGGATTGAGATATCAAGAGTGGACATTTTCTAATAGTATGGCCACTGCCCCTGCATTTACTACATCTTTTTGGGTTGATTGAAATATTCTTTTGTGCATGACTATGAGTACCCTTGGTTTTTACAGTCTTTGGATCATTCACACCGAATTGTGTAGTCATCACATTTGCATCGTGTTTGCCAAGTGACTCATGATGGGCTTTAAGAAGAGAAGTTCTTTGTTGCACCATACTCCTCAGGTCATTTGAGTCTGAGAGCGATTGTGAAGCATAATAACACATTTGGCTGCACATTGACATAAGTCCAGCATAACGCATAGGAATTGACACATCCGGCTGCACATTACCACATTCGTGTGCACATGTATACCCAACTTTTGCTTTAATGGTCCACCTGTCCATCACCATGGAATGAGGAAACTCTTGTATGTGCTCATACTTCATGACCGCGATCATGTGAGAGCATGGAATCCCAAAAGACTCAAATTTCATGCAATTGCATTTAAATGCATGAATTTGAGGATAATATTCCACAATCCACCTTGATTGTGGCTTTGTGAATCGAGACAAATAGTAACTCCGATAACTATCAATCGCGATCTTATCCACGACAAAAAATATAGCTTCTTCTTGTATCTTATCACAGACCTTGAAGAAAATCTTTCTGGTAAATAGAGCAGCAACATGTTGCTTTAAGCATCTCAGTGTTGTCTACATCACTGGCCTAAAATGTTCCGACTCAAAGTCATCATTGGCCTCACACTCCCTGATCCTTGCCAAGCCCCTGTCATAGTGCCTAAAAAACTCGAA